AGGAATATTTGTCATCAAGACAGGATTTTAACATCTGACAACAACGGCTTCAGCAAACTTCAGAAGACTGGAGCTTGATTGTTAAATAATCACCTTGAAGGATTTCAAGTTATCAACCTGATACCCTGTATCCAAGATATGTTTAGTAATTGCACTGTTTGACTGCCGATTCAGTTCTGGCTAATGCAATGATAAGCCTCCAGCTGACTGTGCTTGCAACGTCATCAGCTTTGGAATTGAGATTTATAGATACTGGTTTTTCATATTTGTCGATAAATTTCTGTGGATAACAGTCGTCTCCGGCATTTTTTAACGTTCATCAATTCTTCTTCCAGTTTATCGATGGCATATATCCTATCTAGCCGATAAAATAGTGATTTGATCAATGCATTTTTATAATTCATTGGGCAAAAACTATTGAAATTCGGGTAAAGACCATTTCAAGTACTTTTTCGATAGACCTAAAGTTGAACTGTTCCATCTTCCTTACGTAGCATGGCAATATCAAGAAAGTGGAACGTGTCATTCTTTTTGTGTATGTGGGGATGAGCATCACTGAATAGTTCTTGCAGACGGATTGCATGCTGTTTACTATTTCAGACAATAAACATGTCATCAGCATATCTGGAGTACTCAGTCGTTTTGCCAATCGCTTTTGTAAGCATCTGCCATAATTAAACCTAATGGACTTCTTATTGATACACCAACAAGTTGACAGTATGTGGTGTTATTGAACTGGAATTGAACGTCTATTCATATTAGCAGTAGTTTCTGAACATTTGGACTGGTAAATGTAGGTGAGAATTCTGAAAAATTATATTAATTATTTCAAAAAGTGGTATCTTGGTGAACAAGTATGTTACATCAAAAGAAACCATGAACTTACCGGCAACATTCGTACGATTTGGTCTGTCAGCAAACTGGAATAAATCTCTAAAAGACTGGGTATAACCTATCTGATAGCCAACGTGCAGCTTTGTAATACGTTGAGCTGATCATTTATAGGATAGGTCTAAGTGTAACATCATGTTTGTGAACCTTTGGTATACCATACCACAAACGCATACATGGATCTCATCGGATCACACCACAGAGAACCATATGGATATTATTTGCATCGCTAAAAAATCGGATTTTCTGAAAATGTGCGAACAGAGAGATGAGCTGACGTAGCCTCAGATCACCATCCAGCGGTTGCCAAGATGGAACTGAGGCTAAAGAAACATTGGACAACTGGAGAAACAGAACTAAAGAAGTTTTATACAGCCTTCCTTCAAGATACTGACAAACCCAATGAATTCAAGATCTCACTCAGCAACAGGTTCAAAGCCTTATAAGATCTACTTAGAGAAATTTCAACTACTATGGTGAATGACTGAAAAGAGGTTGGCGGATCACTAACCTCAAAATACCAGGAGGTGCTGGGCCACAAGAACCGTCATCATAAGGAAAGAACCTCTATCGATACCCTGACCAGGATTCAAGAAAGGAAAAACAATAAGACAGCAATTAACAACAGTCGAACAACAGCAGAGAATTCCACAAAAGCGAACAAGCGAGTGAAGAGGAGCATTCGAGTTGACAAGTGGAATACGAAGAAGATCTAGAAATAACGAAAATAACACAACAAAGAAACTGGCAGGAAAATATATTAAACCAGAGAGACCAGCCAAAGACAAAGAAGGCAAGCCAGTCACTGAGATTCAAAAACAGTGAAACATGTGGATACAACACTGAAGAATTCTTGAATAGATCAGCCACACTGAACCCACCAGACAGTGAAGCAGCATACACAGACCTTCCCACAGATGTCACCCCACCCACGATCGAAGAAATCAGCATGGCCATCAGATATGTCGAGAGTGAGAAGCCAGCAAGACCAGACAACATACGAACTGAAGAACACAGGTCAGACACAGAAGTAACTGCAAAGATGCCGCACATTCTATTCAGAAGGATTTGGGAGGAGGAACGAGTACCGATGGACCGGAAGCAAGGATAACTCGTCAAAATACAAAAGAAAGGAGATCTGAGCAAGTGTGAGGACTACAGAGGTATCACACTACTATCAGTACCAGAAAAAGTGTTCAACAGTGTTATTGAATAAAATGAAAGATTCAGTAGACACCCAACTTTGATTTCGGCAGCCTGGATTCTGTTAAAATCGGTTGTCTACAGGCCAAATCGCAAAACTACAGATCATCGTTGAACAATCAATTTAATGGAACTCTTCGCCATACATCAACTTCCTTGACTATAAGAAAACGTTCGACAGCGTGGACAGAAGGATATTATGGAACTTTCTTCGACAATTTGGTGTACCCGGGAAGATCGTCAACATCATACGGAGTTCATAAGACAGACTACACTACAAAGTCGTGCATGGAGGACGGCTGGGAAATGCATTCTGAGTGAATAACGGTGTCAGACAAAGGCGGCTTACTTTCGACCCTCATCTTTGTCCCGGTGGTTGACTGGATTATGAAGTTCTCAAAATCTCAAGGAAAGAACCAAACACAGTAGACAGCTTGAATGCAGTTAAACGACTTAGACTTCTCATGTGATCTAGCTTTTCTATCCCATACACACCAACATATACAGATGAAGACAGATAGTGTAGCAGCAGCCTCTGCATCAGTAGGCCTCAACATACACAAGAGAAAAAGCAAAATCCTCGAATACAGTACAGTGAGCGTCAATCAAATCACACTTGATAAATAAGCTCTGAAAGAGTTGGAAACGTTCGCGTACCTGGGCAGCGTTGGATGGAGAATGCTGGTGGGAGGCCTATACTCTTCCACGGACAGTATGGTGTGTGCTAATGATGTCGACAGATATAAGTAATATGTATCATCAATCGAAAGTGAAATGCCTGGAGACGGAAGGTTAAGAAGTTTAAAGAAAAGAGAACGGGAACAAAGAATGATTGCTGTGGAAACGAAAGAATAACGAAGTCTGAGACAATTGATTGACATTTTGCAAACGAAGTATTTACAGTACGGTCCTCAGATTTTACTAAGATGTTCTATTATTTTGTATTCAAGTACATTCGATTGTCCCTATCTGTGTTCTTGTTCACTTAAGTAAGTGGTTTTAAAAGTTCTTGAGTTTCTCAAGGATTTTAATTCTTTTTATATCCCTGCTACAATAATACATTCATTCGAGAGAAATTCAGTTTGTTTTCCGTATCACTCGTAAATTCACGTTATAATTTTCACAACAGCTCTCCAAATGATTTCATGGAACAACGTTATAAGAATCATGTAAGTGAAATTCTTGAAAATCATACACAGTTCCTACGACGTATGTGCAGTTACTATCTAATACATCATTAAATACGTAATTGAGTTAAAATGTGAATGTGAATGAAAGAAAAACAAACGAGCTCTTAGTATTTTATCGAAACAAATAAGCTTTTCGTACTATCCTTTTTCATAAAATTTTCACCGACACCTTCCATCCGTTTTTCCGAATGATATTTTATGTTGCTTATATTTTGTAAGAAGATATAGAATGTCAAAATACTTTACATTGCTCGGTGGATACATGTTTGATGAAATAACCTTGTATCCAAACGAACTGAGTGTTAGTCCTTAGGAATCACTTCTTTATGTAGTGTACTTCAAAAAGATTCAAGTCACCTTGGTCGATGTCACCAGATACTTTCGATAATTTAATAAGGATATTTACTGTCCTGAAATGCAATTTATCCCTTGTTTAAACATCGTGTTCAGACTCGTGAAAACGTCTAATTTTACTTACAGGATAAGACTTGTGGAACTGTAGACTTATAAGGACAGCTCGAGAAATAGATTACGTTCCTATCCTCTTGATATATACATCAAGAGCTGAATGAAGATGATATCATAATACCTGTTCGTATTTTGAGTAAGTAATCTCCATGGAATCCTGATACCCAAAATCTTAATTTAAAGTCACTTATAAAACGAGTCTGTTCCCTCCAACGCGTTACCACATTTGTATGATTGGCTAATGTCTTATATTCTAAAAGGATATGTACAAAATTTACCACTATGGCATAACACAAAACAGGAACTTTCATTGCTGTCATTTTCCAAAAACTTCCTAGGAATATCTCTACGTACTATCATATACTCATTGATCTCTTCTTAATCGGTAGTGCCTCAATAATGTTCTCATTCTTCAGGAAAGCTAAAGAAATGTACCTAAAGGAAAGTGATAATCTGAAAATTTTCTTACTCTTCAGGCATAGGATGCTGCGGTAGTGGATTATAGCAGTCCCTTGTTTGTTATTGAAGAGCTAAGTAGATCAACTCATTGAGTCCTTATTTCCTCTGGTGTGATATAATCCACTTATGGCACAGGCGATATATACTGTTGTATACTATGTAAAGTGAATATGTATTCTATCCAACCAATTATCTCTTGATTAAAATTACATGATCACAGTCTGAGAATCTCTCAGTTGCTCTAGAATGAATATCCATGAAGTATTAATCGAAGCTCTTGAGATATAATTCAGAATAAAATCATGTGGTATAAGACATAATAGCTTAAGCCAACAAAATACTATGTCACATTATCGCAATAAAAATCCATTTAGCCTAGTATGACGTCACAAAGTTATCTTTTGAGTTCTACACAAACGAAACTATAAATACACACCAAATAAATAAAACAATTTGGCTATTGGAACTCAGTAGCTAAGTGGATAACGTGATGGCATTTAAAGCGAATGCTCCCAGACTGAATATCGACTCTGAGATGCAGACACATCCAACTGACGAGTCCCAAATAAGACGAAACCCATGCCCTGGATTCCATTGCTAGCCATCAACCATCTTTGCTTATAATGCTTATCAATTAAGGTAATATCGAGGCATACGCACAGTATGCACATATACTAATAAGAGACTGATCAATTGTAGTTCTAAATAACAATGGAAAGATTCAAATAAACAGTAACAAGTGAATTTACTTTAAATTTATATTATTAATTCACATTTATTTATAAACAGTTCATGTGTTATATAACGAAATAAATCGGAATAATGAGTAGTATATATGTATAGAAACAAAAACTGACCTGAGTTCAAAACAAAACAAAAAAGAAAAAAAAGAAGAAAATATTATTGTACATTTTTGAGCATTGAATAGTTATTATACAAGTTTGTTTTAGTCTTTAATTTGTGTATGAGCCATTTGGATATGTTTCATTAAATGGATATCTGAAGTTATATATATATATATATATTAGAGAGAGAAGGAGGGAGGGAAGGGGAAAGAGAGGAGTGAGGAGAGAGAGGGGGGGAAGGAGAGAGAGAGAAGAATACAATTAATCAAAATTACGATGTATTTTAGGTACATAATTATAAAAACACATATTATATTCAGGAAAACATCGACATCTATGATATCGTTTAATTTCTTCACTTCCTGATGGAATTAAATTCATATGATTCCATTCTGTACAACCCATATTTTGGCATAAATTAAAACATTCTTTTGGTGTTGGTACTACACACATAAAATTTCCCGTAGCTAATTATAAAACAAACAAAAAAAGGGAAAATAAATATAAGAAGAAGACTTTTTTTCAAGAAGAAAAAAAGAAGATATGGTGAGACTATTATTTATGGACAACATTTGAACGATACTAGACTGACGTTGAGAGTGTCCACTTATTAACCAGGACCAAATTAGGGTCATAAACATGTGTAAGGAATTAGAATTAGAATTTACAGTTAATGATTAAGGTTAGGAATTAGATTCCGGGTTTTCATCACGAATTGACATCAGCTATAATGCCGAAACTCTATTTACTCAAATGAATGAGTGAATTTTGCGCCAAAATCTGAGACATGTTATCGTACAAGTGATTGGTTCGTCCCATAAATTATAGTCTCGTCGAAGATATTTAATTTGAAAATTAATCATAGAATTCAATATTCAATTCATTATATAAATCAGTATTAGCGAATAGATAATTAGTATCAGAAGGGGGTTTTGTGGAGATTTTATTAATTTAAAACCGTTGGATTCCGACTCAGTGGTCTAGTGGTTAAGTGTTTGCGCGCGAGACTGGTAGGTCCAAGGTTAGGATGCGCACTGCTGAAGAGTCCCACAATGGGACGAAACGGCCGTCCAGTGTTTCTAGGTTTTCCATGGTGGTCTAGCTTCAATTGACTCGTGATCTCAACTATCGGATTACATAATTATCAACTCGTTATATAATTCACCTACAGAAATCAGTTAGGAAAAAAAAGTTCAATAGTTCACTAAAGAATTGTAATTGATAACATGAAGTAACCGCAATTTCGCGGATTGGTTGAGGTTAGACAATAACATCGTTGAATGCCGACTCAGTGGTCTAGAGGTTAAGCGTTCACGCGCGAGATCGAATGTTCTGGGTTCTAATCAATTGAGCAAGTATCACAATGGAACAAAACGGCTGTCCAATGCTTCCAGGTTTTCAATAGTGGTCTAACATCAATTAGTTCATGATCTCAATCATAAATAAGTGAACTGAATTCATACTCCTCTGATACTACTTATGTATGTTTACATACTAAACACGTAAACGTAGAAGATATTTGTTTTTAGATAGTTCAAGTAAGTTATGTAAGTAATATTGATTGATGGTAATATCATTATTATCTTGCTTTATATTTCATTACTCTACTTTGACAATAATGTGATACACCTATTCATTATTATAATTTAAGGTCAGACTTAAATATGGCTCAACCGACTATTCAAATTAAGTTGATTCTCTATTACTTTTTATCATGTGATTGTATTATCGTACGATTATTTCATTCAATAAACAAATTTTATGTTTATTTCAAAGTATTCTATTGTCCCATTATATTCATCATTGAATATTGTTATGTAGACACCATTACAAGGACCAGTACTGAATGGCCTTGATATATATATAGGGTCGATTTTTCTTAATTATGACCTGATAATTAATCATAGATGATGATAAATTGATTCACTCGTGACTAAAATGATGTAACACATTCAAATCTTGATAAAGTAAAAATGACTATTAGAATATATTGGAAATAATATTAGAAACGTGAATAAATATAAAAGATGGATAGTGGCTAACAGTAGAATCCAGAATGCGTGTTTCGTTCTATTTGGGATTCGTCAGCTGGATATATCAGTATCTCAGAGTTGATGTGCACTCTGGGACTCGAACACAGTACTGTTCACTTCAAACGTCATCGTGTTCTCCACTTAACTACTGCTTGTGCGATGGGTACATTCAGCTGACGAGTCTCAAATAGGACGAAACGCACGTCAAATTGGATTCCACTGCTAGCCACTATCCATCTTTGCTTATAAAGCTTGTGACTTAAGGTTATATCGAGGCGATCCGCACAGGATGAATATATGCCAACGTGAGACTGACCAGTTACAGTCATAAATAACAATGGGAAAATACAAGCAAAACAACACCAAGTGAAGTGAATAAATATAACTGTTATACTCAGACAGACCGATAGGTCCTAGGTTCGAATCTCTCGAGGCGAGATCGCAGATTTGCACTGCTGAGGAGTCCCATACTAGGACGAAACGGCCGTTCAGTGCTTTTAAGTTTTACATGGTGATCTAGCTTCAATTGACTCATGAATTCAACTACTAAATTATTATAACTTTTATCTTACAAAATCAAAAATCTTTTTTGTAATTTGTACATTGTCCTGAAAGCTTACAACAAAATATGGTATAAATTAATCTTGTTATAAGAGAGTGAGTACACTGAAGATACTAATACGTTTGAAACAATTTTAAGGATTCATTATCTCTCTTTAAAACAACGACAGGTTAGAAGCTTTGAGAAAAATTTCCAACACATATAAAACCTTAAAATTTAACAGACTGTAGACAAATCTTACACCGTGAATCTTAACAAAAGTGATAAAGAATTTATCAGATAGAAATCTAAGTATCCATGACAAGGTTCTAATTGTAAAGGAAGTAGACCATTATTATGACCATGATGGATAGTGGATAGCAGTGGAAACCAGGACGCACGTTTCGTCCTATTTGGGACTCGTCAGCTGGATGTACCTGCATCTCAGAGTTGATGTTCACTCTGGGACTTGAACCCAGTACCATTCGCTTCAAACGCCATCGCGTTATCCACTTAGCAACTGAGTCCTGATAGCCACTTGCTTGTGCAATGGGGTGAATTTGAATTTCCTTGGTACTAACTGACTGATCAAATGAAGTTTTAAACCTCAATGGGAAGATACAAGCCAAACAATACCAAGTGAATTCATGATTATGACCGTTCAATATTATACTTACAGTTGAACCGAAATTAAACTGCCTTTCTAATGAAGCAGCGAAAGATATGAAGAATAAAACTCCAGACGCTTAGTTATATCAAAAGTATGTGTGATTTAACTAAAGATGAATTAAATGAATTAAAACAGCTACCACATCCACTTCTTAACCGTTAATATATATGCAATATCTAGCATTTTTCCATTCATTCACTGAATCCATATCACATATATAAACATAGTTTTCAGAGAGGATTTCTTACCAAACTCTCACTCTCACCTCATTTGTCCGTTGGTTTCGTTTCTTATCCCACATCTTCGAATTCACTACACTGGTGTGTTCACACAACACATATTCACATTCAAATTATTAAAATGAATTGTTCAGTGAAAATAAATTACACTATTTAATGCAATACCGACACATTGAATGAATAGAAAAATACTCGAAAATATTACATATCTCACTTTCACTTTCACTGAACACTGGAAACGTGTGGTTATCATTACACAATAAACAGAATAACTTATTATCTGAAGCTTGTGAACAGACAATTATACTGACAACCAAGTTCACATATTTCTATCGACAATTTATCATAATTAACCTGCTCTACTATGTTTCCAAGGGAATTAATATCACAATATTGAATAAATCAATTACTTATTTAAATTAGAATGGTAGTTTGTGGAGACTGTAGTGATTTTAATAAGTGAATTCATAAGTCGGTCATTGGAAACCTGGGAGTACTGGACGGCAGTTTCATCCTAGTACGGGACTGCTCAGCAATGTGCGTCCACGATCCCGCAACAAAGGGACTCGAATCAAGGACCTTCAGTCTCGCACGCGGACGCTTAACCTGTAGATTATTGAGCAGGTGATCGACGATGTTAATGCCTAATTTACATCGATCCATGATCTTGCACAACCATTCATCCATTGTCTGAGGTAGATATTTGCCTATATGCGACACGGATTCGACTTCACTGGTCATGGCTTCTCACTCGAACGCCAAAAAATCTATCTTGAAGCCAGACATTAGAGAGTACATAGTGATTATTATTAGAATGGTATTCGTGGAAATTGTAGTAATTTGAATAGTTGAATTCATGTTCGATAGAAAGGTGTTTACCTTAACTCCATGAAAACTAAACAGTAAAAGCATACTTTACTGCCGACACCTATTGACTGTAATCTCGAAAGAGTGAAAACAATCTTCAGCTAATCAAGATGCAGGTGATATAAACAATGATTTTATGAAATATTCCTACTAAGACATCAGTTAGTTCCTTATCGAGGTTCTACACAAATATATTGATTTTACAATTCAGTAGAAAATCTATGCCAATGATGTGCAGTCATTTAGTAATCTGAAATTCGTAAAATTGAAATTAAGATGAAATGTTAAGAAATAATTCTGTGAGGACATGTGAACAATGGATAAACGTGATGGTGTAATAGATAGTAGTATAAATAACAACTTTAAAAGCTTGTGTGTATGCAAATAAAAAGCTTGGTAAATTCCATAATCAATCAACTAATTACCACAATTAGCTACATAAGAGTAGGAATAGGAACTGAAATTTATGTTGTCTGTAAGATCCAATATAAATTAGATAAAATTTTATTATGAGAATGAGGATTTGTGCATATTGTAGTTATTTGAATAGTTGAATTCATGAGTCGTTCTAAGCTTGACTATCATTGAAAACCTGGTCTAGCTGATATAACGACTTATGATTTAAACTGTTCAAATTAGTACAATCTCCACAAATCCCATTCTAATCATCATCATCATCATGTGCTCATTAGTGACTAGCTCCAAGATGGATTTCCTGGAGTTCAAATAAGAAGCCGTAACCAGTAGAGTTCAATCCGTATCGGATAGAGACAGGTATGGTATTTCAGACAATAGATGAATGATTGCGTAAGATCATGTTATTGATTGAAGTTAGTCTTTGACATCGTTGAATGCCAACTCAATAGTATGAAGTTATTTAATTATATTCATTTTGAATCTGTTTATATATTTAAAAGAAGTTCAGTCTAGTCAGATTAGAAGAATGAACTTTGACTTAATCATAATAATAAATCATATTTAATGGTGTCATTTTATCAGTTCATATATATATCTATTATTTTAAATATGCATAGAATCATAAAGGGTGTGTCTTAGGGTTTAATGTATAAATACTTGAATATAATGTTTATGTATACATTTTTAGGTTAACACAATGTTGGATGGAAATACTTTTGTGTAGTTAATTCTATTATGTGTGTACACAAATATCATATATGTATATTAGAAGACATGAGATCACGCCATTTTATCCGAGTCATTACAAAGAAATTAAGGTTAATTGGACGGGAATATCTGGGACATTTCAAGGTGAACTATTTTTGTTTTTTACTATAAACTAATATTATTTAGTAAATATACGTTAGATAGCAATTTGTATTGCCTTATTAATATTCAGTACAATAGGAATAGAATGAATGTAGTTTCATTATTGTTGGAACTATGTTTCTCGAGATTAACATTGTTAATCTTGACTAAACTATAACAATAACTGGTCTCTTGAATTCTATTTCTCATACTGTAATATATAATGGTGTAGTATTATAAAGCATATTAAAGGTTTATGAATAGTAGTAACATGTATAAGATGACTGGTTGATAGTTTGTAATATATGTAAATAATTGAACGAAACAATACAATTCATTTACTGGATTTAGGCTTGGAATCTATAAATTCGATAACAATAGTATTCATTACTCTTCTATTTTGTTTAAACTGTTGTTTGAATAATATGTGAACTTGTAAAACAAAAACATGTCACTTCAAGGAATATTAATTAACTGACAGTAATTAGTATTTTCAATGATTGAGATCATGAGTCCTTTGAAACGAGATCATTATGGGAAACTTGGAAACACTGGACAGCCGTTTCGTCCTATTGTGAGACTCCTCAGCAGTGCGCATACACGATCTCGTCTTGCGAGATTCGAACGCGCGCGCGAGCGCTTAACCACTAGACCACTGATCACTATTCATTGATGGAGTTCTAGAAATTGTGCGATTTTCTGTTTATTCTTTATAACCAACTAGATGTAATTATGAGAAACGTGAGTTTTATCTTTCATTGTATGTGCCAGTTTTTCAAAGGAGCCTCAAATATGTAAAACATTAGTAAGACTGGCAATAGTACGTATAGTTACGTTTTATTCATTCTTATTATTGATTTATAAAATTCATTAAGGCATTCCTGAATGTCCTGTTACGGCCGAGAATGGGAAGAGTCAGCTCTCCATCTCGAAATGCTCTCATATGGTCGTGTGCATACAACCATTCTCAGGGAAGTCCTACTCACTATTTTGCGTCGGGGTGTTTACGAAATTGAGAGGATGAAAAGTGAATGTCCGGTGCTTTAACCGGGTCGGTGAAAACAGAGGATCTACCTAGGGGAGTTGGAAAACTCTGATTCCAAACCTATCTTGCATATGGGCTAGCTCCATAATCCTGAATGAACAAATAATATATGAACCAATTATTGGTCACCAGCTACCATGGGACTGTATCATCTAACGTTGCTCCACTTCCTTGTGAATCAAACATCTAGATTAAATGTTCGGAATGTTGCCCCCCCCCAAGGAAACCGACTGTTTCGGTTTGGGCATCCAGGCAGTATCATAGACCATACACAAATCAAATGAATTGTGTGGTGCATATGTATTCAGTGCCCTCCCCCTCTAGTGAATAAATAAATAATAGCATACATAAGTATCTAGTTTAATGGATAACAAAACAATTCTGTTGACATTCAACTTATTTAATTTTCAGATTTAGTTTCATTTTAATTTATAATCAAAATTAATTATAACAAACTTACGATCATTAAAATCGTAGCCACGTTCTGGACATGGTTCAGTGAACTTCAAACCTTGTATTAAAACTCCATTATTCGACGCAACTAAAAATTCAAAAGAAAAGAAATAAATCGAAGATAAAATCACAGAAAAAAATAACTAACTAGATAATGAGATTTTTATAGAAAAAGTATACTGAGTATTTTGCGTGGAAAAGATGTTGGAAATGAATAGGACATACATTAAGGAAATCATCAAATTGGATCATGAGGCAATCCCTAACTTGGAATCTTGAATGGAAACGAATAAGAGGAAGGTCAAAGAACACAATACGTCGTAAAATAAAAGTAGATATGAAAAGTATCAATAACAATTGGAAAAAGTTGGAAAGGATTGCACAGGATAGAGTTGGATAGAGAATGCTGATAGGCGGGCTATACTCCTCGACGAGGAGTAACAGACGTAGGTAAGCCATTGAATTAATTGTCTCCGAACTTTATATAATTCTAACAAAATGAACTATATTTAGTAAACAATTCAGTGTAGGGTTAAGTCTCTTGTAATTCATTCGATGAAAATAAATCTTAAAATGTACTTATGATGATATCTAACTTTATGGCATAGAGTTGGATAGAGAATGCTGATAGGCGGCCTATGCTCCTTGACGAGGAGTAACAGACGTAGGTAAGTCATCGAATTACTTGTCTCCGAACTTTATATGATTCTAACACAAAATGAACTATATTTAGTAAACAATTCAGTGTAGGGTTAAGTCTCTTGTTATTCATTCGATGAAAATAAATCTTAAAATGTACTTATGACGATATTTAACTTTATGGCATAGTAATTCATAAACAAAAGAACAAAAACTCACGTGATATAAGTCTAAACAGTTAAAAATATTAAATATCATGTCACATATATAAGATTAACAAGAGAGAACTTGTGTATTACATCATCTTCAATTAATCATTGAAACCTTTGAATCTATCAAATAAAACCAATCGTTAAGAAAAGAAGTACTCAATAGTACATTAATGATACATTGTGCCATATCAATAATTACTGAGTAGTTAAACTTACCATTCTGTAATGAGTCAGAATTAAATTCAATTACTATTAGTTTGTAAATTGGTTTGAATAACTTTTTTTTTAACAATGTGAAACTTCGTGGATTAGTTGAAGTTAAACATTAACACCATTGAATGCCGGTTGGTTCAATGGTCTAGTGGTTAAGCGCTCGCACGTGAGACTGATGGGTCCTGAGTCGGAATCTCGCGAGGTGGGGTCGTGGATGAACACTGCTGAGTCCCACAATAGGATGAAACAGCCCTCCAATGTTTCTATGGTGTTCTAGCTTCAATTAGCTCATGAATTCAACCATTGAAATTAATATAATATTTTTAAACAAGGGATTTTGATAGGGTTAAATTATACTACCATAGACAGTTATCAAGATTTATTATTCAATATGTACTTGTACTTCAACAGTTTATCATTATACTTTTATTTTAACTAATAAAACATATTCAGAGTAGATAGTTATTGTATGCAAAATTATTTAATCTTTCATTCAACCTCTAATCAGTAAACAAAGATCGAATCATTGATTTAATTATGACTGAGTTGCACAATACTTTTCTACGTTGAAATACCTAATACAGAGGTTATAATCTGTTATCTCAAACCAGCTTCCAGTAGAGGAAGAAATTAGAAAAAGACGTTTGAAATGGATAGGACATACATTACGAAAATCATCAAACTGCATCACGAGGCAAGAACTAACCTAAAATCCTGAAGGTAAGCGAATAAGAGGAAGGTCAAAGAACACACTGTGTCAGGAATTGAAAAACAGACATGAAAAGGATGAACAGCAACCGGAAAGAATTTCCCAAGACAGAGTTGGATGGAGAATGCTAGTGGATGGCCTATGCTCCTCAACGAGGAGTAACAGGAGTAAGTAAGTAATTTGTCATCTAAGGTGTTTTGGATAATTAAAAAAACACTATATCTAGTACATTAAAAATCAATTCACGTTACAAGTAAATGGATACAATGATTATATTTAATATTCTTTCCATTAATCAAATAGTAATCAATAAATGTATAACCTACAAGATCATAATCAAACAATCGATTCAGTATGATAACATAGTAACAGTCTAATATAGATATCCTACAAACAAAAAAAGTACAGTATACTTCAATACAGATAATCATTCATGATCCTAATTACATATTATACAATTTACAAATAGTTTATTTATTCAAAGTTATTAATTTCACTTACCATATCCTTTTGTTTGTATCATAAATAGTAAAAGTAGAGTTAAAGATGAAATTAACCGATAGACCATTGATAAGATTGAAATGTCTAAATTTTTATATCTCATTGTTTAATTTAGTTCAGTTGACAACAACAACAACAACAACAACGAAAACAGCAAAAAAAATGTTTTTGAGAACTTGCAAATAAAATAGTAATATGTGAGCAATGCTTGTTTATTTGTTTTTGTAGAAATGCTTTTTAAAACGAAAAAAAAAAGAGAATAACGAATCTTGATCCTCTTCGATATATATATGACTACACACCCCAACATTATGAAAAAATTAACCAATCAGATTACAGTATAATGGAATTGTGAACTTTCAACTTCGATATATATATGGATATACAAAATAGTAAACAGCACTAACCGTAACTTGACAAACTATTATTCGTTTATGATCACATGGTCTTATGATAAGAATTTTGTCAGAGTTGATAAGTAAACGACTTTTTTGGTGTTATTTTAACCTGACTTCTGACAATTAAAGGTTATTATCAGAATGGGTTTTGTGGAGATTTTTAGAAATTTCACAGGTTGAAATCATGAGTCAATTGAATCTAGATCAATATGGAAAACCTGGAATCAATGGACGATCGTTTCGTCCTAATATGGAACTCCTCAGCAGTGTGCATCCACGATCCCGTACCCTGCGAGATTCGAACCCAGAACCTACTGGTTTCGCGCGCAAGCACTTAACCATTAGACCACCGTTACCAGTGGAGTACAACCAGGTCTGTTGTGAGATATCAGCTCACTGAAGACAATGGTGTACGGTGGCGCCACTTCGTGGATTGGTTGAAGTTAGACATTAACACCGTTCGATGGCGGCTCAGTGGTCTAATGCTTAAGTGCTCGCGCGCGAGACTGATAGGTCATGAGTTCGAATGTCTCGGGAGGCGGGATCGTGGATGCGCACTGCTGAGGATTCCCATACTGGGACGAAACGGCCATCCAGTGCTTCCAGGTTTTCCATGGTGGTCTAGCTTCAACTGACTCATGATTTCAATCTGAGAAAATTGGTATGTTTATCGTTTCGATAATGAAATGAGAAGACGAAGTTTATCAGAATTATGTGATATATTTGCACAATACATTTCGATCAGTCTGATCACACATAAACTTCGTCTTCTCATTGCATTATCGAAATTTATTAAAGGGACTAATTGTTTCAAATGTCTATCACTGTTAAGAAAAGTTGTTTCCTCTTAATTTTCCTACAGTTTCTTTGTTGCAGTTATTTTGTTTCAGATTTCCTTTTCTGACGAGTACTGGATGGAACCTAGGTTTATATATTTCTACTGAATTTTTTATAAGATAGATGAATTAATTGTTAGCAGCAAAATCTAGAATGTACGTTTTCTCTTATTTGAAAGTCATCAGTTTGGTGTACTTACATCCCAGTATTCAAATTTAAGCAAAAAGTTGAATACAGTATTTTTCGTTTCAAATCCACACCTCATTATCCACTTAACTATTGAGTCTATCTAACCAGTAACTTGTAAAACAGGTGCAGTGGTGTCTCGTTTACAAGTACAAGAAATTAGCGACTCCTATATAACAATCAAAGACGACCAGTCATACCAAATTAATCATCAAATCTAATACAGGTACGATATTTATATCATGATTTGAAAAGTTCAGAATATTCTCGTTACTGATGATGTAGACTGAATTTATATGAGTTTCTGTTAGTTATATACATTCATTACTACCGTTTGTCTCAATCTACTTGTAATATGTTTTAGTAATCATATCGACATAATAATAATTATTTCAATAGTTGAGATCATGAGTCAATTGAAGCTAGATCACTATAGAAAACCTGGAAACACTGGACGGTCGTTTCATCCTATTGTGGGACTCCTCAGCAGTGTGCATCCACGATCTCATCTCGCGGGATTCCAACCAAGGATCTATCAGTCTCGTGTGCGAGCGCTTAATCATTAGACCATCGAGCCGACCGACATCCAACAGTGTTGCTGTCTGACTTCAACCAATCCACGAAATTGAGCGACATATCCACCATTGTCATCACTGATTAACACACGAGAAATCACGAACTACTTACAACTTATGAAATGATTGTTTAATGATCTAGTGGTTAAACGCTCGCATGAGAGACTAATGGATCATGGGTTCGAATCTGAAGAGATGGGGTCGTGGATATGCATTGTTGTGGAGTCCCACAATAGAACAAACTGGTCATCCAGTGTTTCCAGATTTTTCATAGTGATCTAACTTCGATTGACTCATGAACTCAACTATGAAAATGACTAGAATCTCCACAAAACCCCTTCTGATATTAATCATATCAGTTTCTAGTTTTATTTCTTTTTCCAAAAAAAAAAGATGAAAATTATCTCCCAATTTCAATTATTTTTTCTAAATAAAAAAGAAATAATCATCTGATCGTATGATTATTTCGTTGAAATTTCACCATCTTTATTTTGATTGGATTAATTCTAACTAAAGGATAAATTTCATCATTTATTTAATCGTTGATTGGTGTAAAAAAAAACAGAACAAATAATAGAGAGACTGGAATTTATGAACGACCTTTGAATGACGTTCAAATGACCTTGGAATTACTTCCTAAGGTTAGAAATTAGTGTTAAGATTTAATTCGAACAGACAGTTTGATTAGGATTATGAAGTAAAATTAAAGTTTTCATCACAAACTAACAAAACTAATTGTTAATTAGCCATATGGTCAGTTAGTCAGTCAGCTAAAACGTAGGGTCAGGCACATATATGCATCAGTCCAAGTGGCCATACGGCATTAGCACAACGAGATGAACACCGGATTCATAGATGGTAATATATAAAAGAAAGATTGCGTATAAGGATGTAGTACAGGAAGAAAGAATTAGTTCATAGTAAGATATGAAGAGATTTTAATCTCATAGTTTAAGGGAAGATAAAGAGTGTATATACCTACAAGATTGTAATCGATTCTGAACCATGTCACCAAGTATCTCCAACCATTGGTCACGATATTCACACGGACCCCAACGAAGTAGTCTACATCTGCCAACATGGCTCAGACCAGAAGTTAGTGACTTCAAACACTGATGAATAGATGAATTTGGAATCGAAATTCAAGATTCTCCATTTTATATATGATTAGTTCGTCCATAAATTATGATACTACCCCTGTAACTGTATTCTAATTGATTAAACTATTATATGCCCGTGAAAGATAAATGTTAATGGTAATTCTTTATTGAATAAACTGTAGACAACATGACATTTTTTATCAAACTGGTCTAAAGGTTTTCGTGTAGATTAAATGAATTAAATTGAGTTTTTCAAGTAGTAGATATTTGTGGATGTGAGTGTACATTAGTCCCTTTATGTATGTGTGTGTGTAATTACAAAGCAATATACTCATCGAACTTTAAAATGCTCCATTTAGTAGTGATCTTCACTTTGACATGTCAGTTTAAGAAGAACTTTCTAAATAAATATAGATGACAAACCGAGTGAATAAAATGAATTTTTTGATACATGAATCACTTGTAAAACCTATGAAATTTGTTTTAATATGAGGTAAAGATATTTAGAACGGTTAACTGACTACTAGTCGGGAACCAAAGACATGTTTGTTCCTAGTCCTATAGTGCCAATTGAATTCTATGGGTAAAATTGCAATGTAGCCATTAGTCTAAGTGACTTGACATCGCGTACTGTATGTTGATAGTTGACGGGTGTCAACTTACACAACCTACATCAAACCTGCATCCCTTGACGAGTGCCTCAAACTACCCACTATTCCAACATTGCGCATGTGGTCTCGAGTCGCTTGAACTGGTGAAAGCATTGCATCATGATTGATAAAATTCGACCATTTATGACGGCATAGGCAAGCATAAAATTACTCACTGCTCTGTGATCACTCACTTTTAAATATCTCAGACCTACAAGAGGTCAGTCTTGGTTCGAATAGTAATAGTCCGAACGGTAATATCTCAAACTAAAGTTGGGTGACGTGAGTATAAATATCACAGAGAGCATCAGTTCACGAAAGATTCCAGGTACATCTTGCCACTCACCATAATTTTCCAACGAACTCTATCCTGAACAATCCTTTCCAATTGGTTTCAGTTGCTATTCATTCTTTTGATGTCTGCTTTTAATTCCCGATGCAATGTATTCTTTTGTCTCCCTTTTCCCCTTAACCTACAAGTTTACAAATTAGCGCTCGCATCGTGATGTAGTCTGATAATTTCTGAAATGTATGTCCTACTCACGTTCAGCGTCTATACAAAAATTAGTTACAATTCATTTACTTGTAACATATCAGCAAAACCATATTTCTTGTTATTTTCACTCTGAAACATAGCTCTTAAGATAATGCAAACATATTCACAAATATAGACATCTTTATACTAAAATCTCATTACCTTCCTCATAGAATTTGGATTCATCAACTTTAAACTATTATTCTGTAAGAAGAATACTCCATTTTAATATTAGAAATGAAATCAAGTAAAGAATTTTAAAGTAGACATTTTGAAAATTTTAAGGCATAGAAATCCATATTTGGCTCCTTAAAAACACAGTTCATTAAGGAAATCCTCAAGGCCAGACGGAACTACTTCCCGTCATATCATCATCGGTAAAAATGGTAAATGTATACTTTTATTTCTCTAACCCTTTTGAATAGAAATAACCAACAAGCTACAGGTATAATCTTGAAAATATGGTTGTAGATATATACATTAAATACACACCTTTCAACAAGAATTCAAACATAGAAATACTTACAGACACTAGACCTTAGTCTTATTTATTAGTCTGAAGGCTGCATTCAACGTCATTGATCAACACGTCTTCAGGAGAGTTTATCCGTTGAAATGTATGCCAGATTGATATTAACTTAGTGAAGATCCTTAACTTGAATAATTTTAGTCAGATCAGAGCTGCTACTCCAAAGAGTGGTCATAAGAGTTTCTCAATCTCCCTAGTATCAATTAATTTTGTCAGATATATAATTAATAACAGAAGGGGTTTTTGTGCATATTATAGTAATTTTAACAGTTGAGATCATGAGTCAATGGTGGATGTGCCGCTCAATTTTGTGGATTAGTTGAAGTTATACATCAACACCATTGGATGCCGGCCGTCTCAGTGGTCTGTTGGTTAAGCGTTTACTTGCGAGACCGATCAGTCCTGGGTTGGAATCTCGCATGTGGGATCGTGGATGAGAACTACTGAGGAGTCCCACAATAGGACGAAACGTCAATCCAGTGCTTCCAGGCTTTCCATGATGATCTACCTTCAATTGACTCATGATATCAACAATTATAGATATATAATTGACCTTATGTTTGTCTAACTTTTCAGAGATTGATCAAGTACCTAGAAACTTATTAACTTGGAATACACATCCGGTGATAACTTTCTATCCTAGCTATATGGAAAGTTAGTTGTTAAAATGAGACCAATTAGTATCTAGTCAAATTAATGAGCATCCATAATATAACGTATGTGGTTCGTTTCAAACAATCTTGTTATCATTTGATCCTGAGTTTCAGAATTACTTTATACTTTTCATTTTAGGAATTCTTCCTTCCTTCAGTAGAATCGTACTAAACTTTACCATTTATATTATCATTGATACCATTGCTACTTTTACTACTCCAATATTAACATTGTGCTGATATGGTGTGATAATTTGAGCCAATGAAAATTCACGTCAAATTCTTAACGTCTATGTGACTGACTAGATCATACATCTATCAGCATTGTGCTATTATTATTTGGTCAGCGAAATCATGCTAATGACTAAAAGAAGAATCATGGTTAGGAATTTGATTTGAACTCTTAGACAACTGAAATTTACTACACAACTAGATTAGTTTCAGTATTCAAATATTCGAATAATCATATTGTATGATTTACGGAAATATACTATACTATCTAGAGAAACCTGTAATTATTCAAAAATATTTGAAAAGCTCAAAACAACCTTATATTACCTTTCACCAATCATAGTTATTGAAAAGTTTCCAGAATTTCCTAGAAGCACATTCAGTATCTGCCTACCCTAATCAAATTAGTCAGCATATTTTGTTTCCGTCAATCGAATTATTCTTAGAAGTGAATCTCTTTATATTTCCATCTTCTTGTTCCATTAATGCTTCAAGCATCAAAAATTAGTCAAATTAAGAGATTAATTAGGAAATCGGTATCTCGAATATACATTACATAAGACTAGTCATCTGTAAAGACTACATTATTTAACAACTTAGTGATTGAATTCTAATCGTACCATTAAAAAATTCACAATTAGATTACAGACAAATCAATAAGTAATATTGTATTATGAATCAGCCAGTGCTTTTAAATTAGAAGGGGTTTTTGTGGATACTTTAGTAATTTCAGTAGTTGAGATCATGAGTCAATTGAAACTAGATCATCATGGAAAATCTGGAAACACTGGACGAACGTTTCGTCCTATTGTGGGACTCCTTAGCAGTGTGTATCCACGATCACACCTCGTGAGATTTCAACCCAGGACATATCAATCTTGTATGTGAACACTTAGTCTCTAGACCACTGAGCCGACCGGTATCCAACGGTGTTGATGTTTAATTTCAACTAATCCACGAAATTTAGCGACACATCCACCATTGTCATCAGTTAGCTAGTATCTCACAACAGACCTGGTATTTCCTAGAGTTTTAGTGAGAAACAGTGACCAATGGAGTTCAACCATGTCCAGTAGTTAAGCGCTCGAGCGCTTATATATATATATAGCTTATATCCAGTCGGTCAGTTAGATCTAAGATATATTCTCTTGAGCTTTTACACCAAATTATAACATGATGACGAATAGTATATAATAGATATGTGGTTAACAAGTTACTAAGACGTTTAAAATTGATGAGCATTGTGAGAATAAAGAATAGAAACAAACTTGAGCAATTTTTGTTATGATAATGTGAAAGTGACTAATTTTTCATGGGAAAAACTAATAGAAGTCATACAAAGTTAACAAAGTGAAACAATTTTAGTATGATTTGTGAATGTTTCGACTTAACTTACGAGTTCTTAAAATTTGAAATAAAAGAACTATCTACACAACTGTTCCTCTATGTGGATACAAAGCGTTTCCTCCTCTAATGACACCGTCCAACCCTAACCCTAAAACTCAATTCAAACTCATTTCAAACAAAAATAGTTCAGATTACGTGATTTAAGTTGTCAATGTCAGAAAAGGAGAAAAGCAAACCCAGTTGGTCAAAAGTCTAGGAAATCAGTGCCTAGAAATTAAATTCCTGCTAGATCCAATCCAGAATGTCCATAATTTTTCAAGTGTTTATTATTAAATGACTGACACTGAAGTATTATCTCTTGATCTGAAATTTTGTCATAGTCACAAAATCTATAATAAAATGAATATAAAAGTTCATTTGGAAAAACTCTATGCACAAATCAAGGATCTAATACCATCAAATAACGAGGAGGTAGAAAGGCTAAAGTCCACTTAAATATATTGTTGACAGTATGGATAGCATTCTGATTAAAATGGACAAAAAATATTTCAATAAGCAAAAAAAAAGATGAAAGCCTAATGATTGCCAAATCTGAAAAAAAACCAAGAATAGTTCTGATGGACAAAACAGTCCACATGTAAAAGTTGAATACAATACTTAGTGACCATATTAAATTTTAGAAATTGTCTTCTAAACACAACCCCATAGAAAAAACTGAGCGACAGGTAAATCAATCATTAAATATTTTTTGATTGAGATCATGAACCGATTGATTTTAGACCACCACTGAAAACCCTGAAGCACTGGATGGCCGTTTCGTCCCATGGTGGAACTCCTCAGCAGTGATCTCAATCAAAAACTTAACAATCTCCACAACCACTATACTGATAATCATTAAATAGTCTGAAACAACAGAGTTCAAACTTCTAATACCTGTACACAGTACGTAAACCCATGGGTACGTGATTCCTAGACACTATTTCGGGTTACTAAGTGACTCCACATCTACTGAATTGTAAAATCAATATATTTGTGTAGAACCCCGATAAGGAACTAACTGAAAAGAAATATTTCTTCGTTCAATTTGTACTTTTGATGTCTTAGTAGGAATATTTCATAAAATCATTATTTATATCACCTGCATCTTGATTAGCTAAGGATTGTCTTCACTTTTTCGAGATTACAGTCAATAGGTGTCGGCAGTAAAATATGCTTTTACTGTTTAGTTTTCATGAAGTTAAGGCAAACACCCTTCTGTCGAACAATTTATGGAGTGATAAGGTGTAATACTACTTAATTGTCAGTAAAGTATTCACAAGCGGAAATTAAAAAAAAAGCATTTGTGAATCTTTTAGTGGTGTAAAGAATAATTTACAGTAAGAAATAAATTGTATATTTATTATTTACACACACAAGAAAGCTGATAGAATTGAGGTAATAATTAAGTTTAAATAACTGTATTTATCATTAGAAGAAGAAAAAGGAGAAAATAGAGAGACTGGAATCAGACATGAAGGGAATTCTTAAAATAACAACAGGTATAATACTGAAAAGTATAAGAAACAAAGTATTCAAAATATAATACAATTTTAGCTCACAAGGACAATAGAATATGTTATTCTAGTAGTGTATTAGTAAATCAATTGTACCTATTTCATATTAACTGAGGCATACACAGAAAAAATAGAGTATACATACTAATTTGCACAACACCTCCCTAAATTTATTCATTAACTGGAATCAAACAACAGATGCAAAATAGAGTAGGGCTGTGCAGACAATACAGTGGACTGGAGACAAAAAGATTATAAAGCTTTAAAACATGAATAAAAACGTAGTAAACACAGAAAGATATTGAGAATAATAATCCAAAACACAGTACTGAGTCTATTAGATAGGGAGCCCTAATGAAATTAGAAAACATGTACACATTATATAGTCTGATAAAATTCTAAGTATAAAGATTAACGCACTAGAAAGGTTTAACTGAAATGAGAGTTGTGAAGTCGAATATACAACTAAGTATTAATAATAATTAGAACCTAAAAAATCTGGTCAAACAAAAAGGTAATCAGGTATTTGGACAAAAGAACATGTATGTATGTATTAGTGTTAAGGTAGTATGGATTGGGGCCTGTGTAAATTACGACTTAGTACTGAACGTACATCGCTCACAAACCTAAGAGCATCCAGTACTGGTAGCAAACATAGAAGGGCTGTATCACGTGAATCGGAAAACCATGACCGAATCGGAATAGCATTATCTGTAGGTATTAAAATAAAGATGGATAAGCATCAAAATAAGAGATAAAAATAAATTTATTAAATCGACTCATTCACTAGATATTTGAGTATAAGCCACGCAAGGTGTAAGAATTAATTATACAACCCAGCTACCCAAACAGATGTGGGTAGAGCGGGGTACGAACTTGAGACTTAGTGAATGGAAGCCGAGCCATTTGACTACTACTACACGACAAAAAGAGACAATTACTAGTAAAAGTCCAATAACTCTAAGCAAATAAATAAACCAAAAGCATATTATAAATAAAAATAATATATTTGTAATATCCCAACGAGTAGAAAATTGGATTTTCTGACGTTTCGTGACTTAGTGTAATGTTCAATTTATTCGAAATTATCAAATCAAACCGTGGTAATGACACCTACAAAAGAATATTGATAAAACAGATGAGTTGTGACTAGGAGTTGGATCAAGGACCCACATTTCGTCCTGTTTGGGACTCGTCAGATGGATGGACAGCATCCTATCGTTGATATTCACACTAGGATTTCATTACTAACAACAATTAATCTAAAATGAATAACTTGTGTCATCATGTTTGTATCGAGGCAATCCATACATTATGCACATACACCAACAAATACTGATCAAAATCCAGTCCTAAATATCAACAAGATAATTCAAACTATTTCGAATAATGATATAAGCATATTAATATTTCTCAACTGAAAAACAAACAAAGCAGTAGAAATATCAATTTCAGAAGAACGTATAGGTGTTAACAATGATATGTAACCAACCGTTATCATAACGTAGATTGAAGCTATAGTGGCATAGTTACTTTTGCCAACGAAATAACTTTATCCCTATATCCAAACAATACACCCTGAAGTTATTTATCAAATGACCGTATCAAATAAAGTGTTTGTAATGACACTCCCTTAATTCACTTCTGAGATTGACGGCACAGTGATAGATGACAACTAAATATACTTGGGAAGCTGAGTAAAAGACTTCAAAAGATATTTTAACTGATTTACCGTCGTAGCAACTCTGGTCAAAATATGTTGAGCATGTTTGACAGCTTAACATTATTATACTCGATGATGCAAGTGTTTAAAGAAAGCTTCAACTAATAAGATGGTACAGTACATCAGAACTGAAGAACCATTTTCAAGCTTTTTTTACAAAGATGGATATATTTCTGTCGAGGAAGAGAGACCTGGTCATTTGAAAACATCTGGTATGTTGAAATGAAATTATTGAAGTTTATGTGTGCTTAGCAGTTTGTACTTACATTTCCAAAAGTATAAACCTAGGAGTATATATTTAGCTATAATTAGACCTTTGTCTCATTCGTTTTAAAAAGGGTAGGGATCCGATATAAATTGTCTGAAATATTTACTTTCGTCATACAGTGTAGATCTGTGAGAAACGCGTGAAAGACTACCAGCGAAAAACAGAGAGTATTTCATTTAAATGGTGTGTAAATTCATTACAACTACGCCTGGAGCCCCTCTGAGGGCTACTGCTAGTTCCAGGCCCGGATAAAGGAGGAAGGTTGGGCATGGGGTTAGCGACCCCATCCCGTAGAAAACTAACTCGCCAAAAAAACACTAACCCTTCACAAGGTGGTTGATAACACTCATGCAGTGATTGTTATTTGATATAAGAGTCGCTTTACTTTTGTTGGACAGAAATGTCTTCTGATACTGGATACAAATGAAAGTATCGTTGAGTCTATCGTCAACATACTGAAAGTTCTTTGAATAAACACAATGTGGGAGTGGGGGGGCTTAATAACATCATTTTCATCTGTCTGTGATAATATACTCATTACATACATTGCGCTTAGCTTGCCATCAGCGACAGTGCGTATAGTAATTATTTCGCATTACTGAAGTTTATAACACTAACATGATAATGTATATGCATTGATAAGTTGAGATTAGTCATTGAATATAATCAGAAGAACCTTACTTCTAGAAGGTTGTATCATGGTGCAACGAGTTATATCTTTTCCTAGTAAAAATTAGGGTGAAATACATCAATATAAGCAATCTTTGTTATCATTGTCTCGTTGTTAATAGATGGATGAAACTCAACTACAGGTTATTTAACCGACTCTTCATATGTGGAAAATAAAAATTGTCTGACACGGACGTGAAGTCAGATTGCAAAAATTATCAAACAAACGTTTAACAACGATTCAAATTTGAAAGGACCTTAAATTTCCTTCGAAAACAAGCTAGACAACAGATGAAGTTGAAATATGGTAATAAATTACACAAAATTACCAGGATATGATCGGTAGGCCCCTGGAGAATTGTCTAATATGAATACAGAAGCCATATCAGAGGTAATTAGGGAAAGATTCTTTGAATAGCTGCCATTATCATATGTACAATGCTAAAACAGTAGATAAACAAAAAAAACCAAATAAGCGCTTTCTTAAGGTACCAAGACATTCAACAACATAGAAATGAGAGATTCAATTAGTTATAATCAACCGAGGACCTGGCATAAACGTGCTAAGGTCCAAATCACTAAACTACAAAAGTTAGCAAACGATTTACATTTATTAACACTGAAACATTATGGCTTTCAGTCTTACATCTATCTTAAAGATAGACATATGATCCTAGAGTAACTTATGAAACCGGATGACCAGAAATATTACATTTTTTGTCTTAATTGGAGTCTAAAATGCTTATTGTAAACTTTTTATGTACCGAACGTAGACAATTCTTGAACGGTTGGTTTAATTTCATTCAATGGTAAAATGACACGTAGAAGCTTTGGTTTTCCTAGTAACATTGGGTTTTCATTAAATTGTTCTACAGTGCAGAAAACCTCTATGAGAAATATAGACATTTATTATCAGCAATTTAGATTCACAAATGACCTGAGAACTCGTAAGTACAGCAAACTGGTTGTTTTCTATTTAACTGGTACCTTTTTATTTTTATTTCTCATTAAACATAACTGAAGACAATAGGTCCACAGATATCGTATAGAATGGACTACGAAAGAAAGGTATTATGTTAGGGTGGTTAATTTATGTTAAAACGTTTATACTGGCTGAGTACAGGCCAAGTAAACACACACCAATTAACTTATCTGAGATGGATAAAAAGGTAACATAGACATAACATAATCATAACGTGCCTACCAGATTCACACAAAATTAGATAACTCATACTCTCCAAGGTTGTTACTTTCCTTTAGATTATAACTATTTAAACTTAAACCCAGCATTCCAATGCTCTAAACATTCCTAGTTGTCAACATAAGGCTATGTCGTTGGTTGTTCTCCTTCAACTGTTTTTTTAAAGTTCATTGTTCAAAAACGAGGTGACTGGACAATAAATACAAGACGATTGTAACCCATTATAATCTTGTTTTGTAATCGACTATTGTGGAATGGGCAAGTCTAAGACAAAAAAGTGGTTTTGTTGATTGGGTTGGTGATTAGCATGAATGATCATCTTAAGAAAAATGGAAATCAGGAATACTACATGGTAACAATTTAATCTAACATACATGTAGAATATAAGCGATATTGTAGGAGAATGATGGAACTTGGCTGATTTCAACTCCACATGTGATCACACTTCACGCAAACTCTTCAGAGTTCGAAATGAGGGATACTATCCTAGATATCATATGGGATCGATCCTAATAATCTTTAGGACTGAGTTTTTATAGGATAGAAGTATAGATCCTCCACTGAGGAATAATTCGCCAAATAGATCAATATTTGCAACTTATATATCTATTTGTACAATGTTGTCGATTTATAGATCTTGAAAGAGGACTTGATCCCACATCTTTTGATGGATATCAAGAAGAATAGAATTTATTTTAAATTTTACACTAATTGTATTACCGAACAAGCAATTATGGACGTAACGCTGAAATGGAAATAATTTCCTCAACAATAACCGACCTGTCTGTAAAATCGTCTCTGAAGAATATGGCGTCCATTGTCGAGCAACTCAGTTACTCCTGCTCCGTAAATTTCAAGACTAGCTGTATATATTACAAGTTCGTACCACTGGCTTATCTAAAGGGAATCATCAAAATTAGAACAGGCTATTAAATTCAGAATTCGTAAATATTACTTAAGTTTTAGTAGGGGGTAAGAATGTTCATAATAATTTAATCAATAAATTATGCGGCAAGTAACAGAACGACAAATCAATTGGAATTTAATCAGTTACATATCTAAACTTTTTACGATAAAAGTTGACGTGGTCAAAGTCAGGAGGAAATACGCTGGGAACCTTTAAATTATCCATTGACAAAATCGATGACCACAAAAAATCCCTTAGTCATTACAATCGAAAGGTTTGTGAACTATCTGTCTTGTGGATTAAACATCTAAGCCAAAGGCTCGGGGAGTGGCCTCCTAAGGAAACCACTTGCTTCAGTCTAAGCACCCGAGCAGTATCACGACCCTCACACAAATTAATGATAACTACTGCTGGTCTCATTGTTACTGTGTGGAGCATATGTATTTGGTGCCCCTTATACCCATGTTTATGTGATCAAATAATAAATGAAATAAATACAAAGAGAAGTAAGACCTGAAGCAAAAAAGAACCTGCATGGACAAATATCTTAATTAGGTGGGGACAAAGAAGAATTTGGGCTCAAAACCCATGTTATACAGAATTCCGAGGACAATCTTGATCTTAATTTCACGTTTTGTGATTAATTGACCTACCTAAAGCTTCCGAAGTTATCAGTTTCGCCACACGCAGATAGCATGAAGACATGGAAAGTAAAACGAAATGCAGGGAATATTATAAGGTTTCAAACAGACCGATAATTAGTGAATGCTAATAAGTCCTGTCAAGAGCATTATGATCCCTACTAGTCAGTGATGTGGGGATAATTACATAATTATTCACCGTCGATCAAAAACCCACAACGGACCATAAAACACTTCAAAACAACTGGATTGTAAGTGGTTCTACAGTCGCACTCTTAGGATACTTTGGGCAGGATACATGCCGTTTGATAATTTATGTCAAAGCGTTTACAATACTGAGTACAGTAACAGTTTGTCTAAAGCTCAAATATCGTAAATATTGAGGTAATTATTTTCTGAAGTTTTAAGCAAACTTGACGGGAACTGTCTTCAGAATTTTCAGGCTTTCGGGTGGTACTTTATTCAGATAAAGCTGTTATCATATAGAAGGATCCGAGGTGGACTAATCAGTTTTTTGGATTACTTATTAACCACATCGATATTATCATAACCTTGCCTACTTGTCTACCAATATCAAAAACATATAAAGATGCCAAAAGTCGTAATGAGTCCCCTAATAATTAAAATACCCCATTTTCAAAGGTGACAGCAACTCCATCCTTAAACTTATCTAGGAGAACAGACCAAGTGAGACCTATGTTGTCTGGACTAACATAAACATCTTAGTTGTCTAACTTTAATAACACGACTTAGTATACACATATACCAGGAAAAAATAATTTGAGCATTAGTATCATAAATCACAGTATGACTCAGAATTGTAATACCTTTAAGGATACTTAAACTAGGTATTTGGAAACTGATATAGACCTACTTACATGCATTTAGCTGATAAGTGAAGAAAATATACGTTAATTAGGATATAAATGCGTTACTTTGAAGCCTTTGAGAAAAACACAAAATCTGATATTAAAAAACTTACCACATTGAGGAAAAAATCAACATGCGGTCGTTTATGAACGGAGAAGCGAACAGGATGATGGTCAATAAAAACTTTGAGAACGAAATCTGGAGGTGTTCCTGGTCTGACCGTTGGCCGCATTATCCCATCGTGTACTGAATGAATCAGTGTCTCATCCAAATCTAATACCATAACTTTTCGTCTTAATGTACCTGAAGGAAAGAAATAAAGTTAGAACTTTTATACGTCCGAAATTATAAAACATTTTAATCGGTAATTTTATTTCTTGTCATTAACAACATACAGGGATCATCTTAAATATTCAGAAAATGATATAAGATGTAAGTCATTTATGGAGCTTTTAATCACACTACATGTAAACCAACGACGACACCATGCTGACCAGACTGAAGTCGATGTAGCAGGACCCATACCTGTAACATGATGGTTGGAAATGAGATACCGACCATTAAGCCACTACTCTATATTTTAATGAAATAATTGTACTATTTATTAGTGAACGATTTCTGATATCACATGGTAAGGTGATATCTACAGACACATAAACATTGGCACAAGAAGGCACCAAACAGATATGCAGCACAAATAATTCGATATGTGTGACGGCTGGGATACTGCCCAGGTGTTTGAACCGAAACGGGTGGTTTTCTCAGGGGGTCACACTCCGAAACTTCAACCTAAAGGTTCAATCCACAAGACAGTGGAGCAACGTAAGGAGATGTAGTTCCATGGTAACCGGTGACCAACAATTGATTCATATACTATTCGTTCCTTCAGGATACTGGAGCCAATATGCACCATCGGTTCGGAATAAGGGTTTTCTAACTCCCCTAGGTGGATCCTCCATATCCACCAACCCGGTCAAAGCGCCGGACATTCGCTTTTCGTTCTCAATTTCGTAAACAACGGTGATGCCGCAAGAAGGCAGTGAGTAGAACTTCTCTGACTGGTTGTATACACGTGGCCATGTGAAAGCATCTTGAGTGGAAGAGCTGACTCTTCCCACTAATGGAGGGCCAGAGGAGCCCTATGCCTAACTCACACACGCAGATTCAGTCAGGAATTGAAGAAGGGTTTTGACTATTAATACAGTGGTCTTGAGTGCTGTTAGAGGTATGAGGGCGGTTATCACTTCCCGGTCGCCCACATCGTGGAAGAGTTCTTCTGGAGGTACCTGAAAAGGAAATTGGATTAGGGGTGGCCTTAGTGACCTGAGAGCGTGACCGCAGTGCTCAAGGGACAACTGCTTGAGGTTAGTCACACACGACCTTTTTACGAGTAATTTTTGTGTTAGCTCCGTACTTGTTGAGATCATACCGCCGGAGACGGATATCCATGGGATAAGGCGAGGTGTGCATTTTTAGGGTCGACCTTTTCTAAAGACACCCCTCTTTGTGGGAAGGCAGCATCGCTGTTATGCTGGTTGTCTGAAGAAAACACCCTACTGGCGTCACACCTCTGTACAGTCAGCAGTACGACTTCGCCTTCGGTTTGTTGCTTTTAGTCTTGCCGCTCTACAACCGACCTGACATGGTAAAACCTTGAGGAGCGGTTGTTCCAGCCAGTATAGCTCGGTTGTTTCATCACGATAAGCAAGCCCGACCACCACGTCAAGGTAGCAACAACGCTCGGAACAGACGCAGATTGGGTGCTTTCGATGTTAAAGTGACATCTACACAACATCGAAATAAAAAGACCTTAACAAACTTGCTGTTTGAATGGTCTTAAAGGGATGAAACACCCATAAACTCATTGTTTACCTAGTGATATTACGAATGGTGAAAATAATGAATTATCCAGAAATCTAGGGGCCTACCGCTCACTAAAGTGCGCCATCTCCATACTTTACCAGTGAGTTAGCGAATCAAAGCAAACCGAGAATTCAGGTGTAAACAGTTATCGAAAACCTGTTTCTTCAGGTGAATAAGGTTTTAAGAGGCTGCCGAGAAGAGGTGGTCTAGTGGTCAGTGAATATAAGCACAGCCAACCTACTTAAATTCCGACAATATCGATTACTATTAATTGCTATACGTGCAGCGTCGTCTGTTATGCTATTATTACTGCTTCAACATCTTAACATTGAAACACGTGTAAAACGAGAGGAAACATGTCAGCACCAGTAAGCAGATGGAATCTGATCACTGAATAAAGTATTATGAACTCAGGTTTTAGCCGTACTTAACACTTCTCGGAAACCCAGACCGTTACAGGTGAGAAAAAACTTACGGGAAGTGTAGGACTTCATATACTAAGCCATAACTATATAACCACACATATACTATGAAAATTCCTATTCGAAGCGCAAATGCATCTGTAGAGGTTGTTTTCTATAGTCTATCCTGAAAGGGCGTTCCAGTTATTGACCCCGGAGATTCGGTTTACTTGATCGTCGTTTTCGAACACTTTTATGATTGCTATGATGACCAGTCTTACATATAGAGATTTTTCCAGTCCTAATGTAAGCTTAGGAGAAATAACCAGTGCTCTAATCAATAGTGGTAGTTTGTGATAAAAAAATTTACTTTTCAAACACGAAGAAAATCATTGAAACCCTTAGAGAAAAATACAGTGTTCCCCTTAGTGGAATTTTCTCAAGTTCATTTGCACCAGATCACTTCACGTTGTGTTAAGAATCTGAAAATCTCAAGTGTCCATGATACTTTATGATAATACAGACTACTACAACCCAATACAAAACCCGAGGTATTGAACAGAAAACCTTCATAAACTTACACAACCGGTACTTAGATAAGGGAGATAAAGGAACAATATCATATTTCACACTTTGGTATTTTAATGCCTGTAAATAGGTCAGTGTGTGCAAATGAGAAATCATACTGTTTTTAAGTGCCTTCTGAATATCAGGCAAATCATGCTCCACAAACTAGCTATCAAGAGTTTGAGGTATCCCTTGTAGAACACAGCATACGTTCTCATGTTTATTCATGAAAACGTTTCAAATCACCCGGCCAATAGGGGAGACAACAAACAAATATACGAGAGAAAATCAAGTGAATCTGAAGTTGAAATTAATAACAAGACAACTCTGGGACCATCAGGAGAATTCTAAATCCTTAGTTTCAATGAATACAGGTCTGAACTGACGTTTTAACTCAGCCAACCTCACGAAGCAGAGCACACGTTATTGAACGCCAGGACTCATTGAACCCACTGCACGATGATGCTCTGATAGGTTCCACATTACAACCTTTAATATGAGCGGAGCCCGACTTCGTCATCACTGACCCAATGGAGATCTCACACTTGTAAAACAAGCAATTCTTCATCGATCTTACAGTAGCGTCACTAACCTCGACACGAAAGTTTAATTACAACCTTTATCGTTAAACTTCCGTAGTCTCTGAAGATTGGCAAACTTCAACACGTTCTGAAAGACATTACCTTCAAAAGAACCTGGAAGACCGCTTTTCGAGAACTATTTCTGTCAACTTTCCAACCATTTCACTTATTTTTTGTGCGTTACAACATCGTGTTGGATTTGTAATTTTTGTGGTGCTCCAAAACAGCTGCGTTATACCTACACGTACATATTTATGTTTTCTTCCTGTATATTTCATAAACCGCGAGCGAAACGGTAAAATTCTAACCGTTTTTATCAGACAGTCATTTCATTTTTATTTATTTTTTCGGCCGACTCGAAAGAACGATAATAAGGGAGGAAAAAGGCGATGATCTTGCGCCATATATTTGTATATTGATCTTTTTATACAATTTCAGGAGGCGAATCCGTATTTCAGAAGGGTGAAAGTTTGGCATGCTATGGTCCATTTCTCCTAACTGAGCGCAGTTGCAAGTAACTTCAGATACTCAGTTTTTAACTATCAATTCACACCCGGTGCTGATCTTTCTTGTCTTAACGAGTATTATAAGTTAATAGCAAACGTTCAAGCATAAATCCTTATTCCCTGTGAAATCTAGAACTATTCCTCAATCTTACGAATGACCACCAAAGTAGTCTAATACTATTTCCAAACTATGAGTCAATTAAAGCCGGGCCACCATGGATAACTTGGAAGCAGTGGACGGTGGGACAATTTTGTGGATTAATTGGAGCTAGACATTAACACCGTCGGATGCCTGCCCAGTGGTCTACAGGTAAAGCGTTTGCGCGTGAGACTGAAGGTCCAGGGTTTGGATCTCGCGGGGCAGGATCGTGGACGAGCACTGCTGAGGGGTCTCATACTAGAATGAGACGGTCGTAAAGTGCTTCCAGATTTTCCGTGGTGGTCTTGCTTTAATTAACTCAATAATACATGTGATAGTTAAAAAAGAATAACTAGGGCAAATATAAGCTTTTTATATTTTCAGCTTTTTTTATTACATCGGTTAACACTATACTCTGAATCTACTCTGCAACCCGTTTCAATAATTTCACGTATAAAATTGTAGAGAATGACATGTTTTTAAGATCACGAACTAGTCTACAGTGGAGAAAACTTAGAAACAGAGAAACATATGCTCTCTAGCGATTTGCTTCGTGAGAAAATCTGGGCTCTTAGTTGGAGGCTGAGACCGGTGGAGGTAGACCATATAAAGTAAGGGAAAGCTACTCAACTAAGTCAATGAAATATGGTCGCATGCTGTCATGAGCTGACAGAAGTTAAATTCGTACATCAACTGAATCCTGACCAGTAGTTCAAAGTTTAAGCAGTACGTCGAGAGACGGAAGATCCTTAGCTTGGCCCGTGATGACACCGTCGTAGATGTGCGTTGCTGTAAAGTTACGGAATATGGTAAAAGGTTTTACCAGTGTTCCGAGATTTTCAAAGGCTGTTTGACTTAGGTTAGCTCGTGATATCAATAGAACTATTTTATAATTTATATAACTGTTTGAACATGTGTCATACAGACTAACCTGTTCATAGAAGTTGACTCGAAAGAAACGTCGCTAAACATGTGACTCATTTTTTGTTGTCTGAAAATTTCATAAAGTTTATTGGGCCGAAACAAATGGAACTAACGAATGATACTCTTCTACCGACTAACTAGAAGATAAAAACGTTTCCATCATTGAGGACGAATTTGAAAACCGGGGCGTGACATTTTTAAATTCAGAAACTCAGTAATTGCATTGATTCTAACTCTTCATACGTGACTGATAAAAGTTAGTTCTGGTTGCTGAGTGTATTGTGATCAACATGTCAAGTCCCAGTGGGTCAATGGTCACTATCTACCACCTGTCTTACCATAAAGAATACTTTGTGAGTGTGGAAGTATCACGTGGAAGGTGTTGAGGATGTCACAGGTATTCAGTGTTTGACAACGCTTCTACCAGTAACACCTTCTAATATAATTCGTTCCCACCCAGAGAAATCAAAAGACAGAGTCGAGGAGATCGGAAGAGTATATTTGGCGATGACCAATATATCGGAATTCTCTGATCTAATCTGGCTAGCGATTGCGGTTGATGTTGAGCACGGCGTTACCACACGTGATCTGGTGCGGATGCCTGACCGAGCGCCTTCAGCTAGATGAGTCCACTAAAACATATGGTCAGCATCCAATGTCGGAAACTTGGAACTATTTATTTTGGGGATTTGTTTACCGCTACACGGTAAGGCGCTCGGTCATGCATCCGCACCAGATCACGTGTGGTAACGCCGTGCTCAACATCAACCGCAATCGCTAGCCAGATTAGATCAGAGCATTCCGATATATTGGTTATCGCCAAATACACTTTCCCGATCTCCTCGACTCTGTCTTTTGATTTCTCTGGGTGGGAACGAATTATATTAGAAGGTGTTACTGGTAGAAGCGTTGTCAAACACTGAATACCTGTGACATCATCATTGGTGAAACCGACGTGATCTGGTACACCTTATTGCAACTGTGAGTCTGTTCCTTTTTGGGATTTTTATATATCATTGCCTTATTTTTTATTTTTTTTAAACATTGTGATTTTTTTCGTGCTTTTTCTTGGATATACATATTTTCCCCTCGTTCATTATCATACTTAATATTTCATCATGACTGAACAGACACCTAAAGTACTCAAGCTTAAGACTTTGTCCCCACCTTCGTTTCAACTGATGCCTTTCTGGCCCGACAACATCGAAGCCTGGTTTTGCTACGCAGAAGCCGACTTCTCCGAGCACAGCGTGATCGACACACGTGCACAATTCCTCGCAGTAGTCAAGGCACTACCGCGTGAATTCAACAGGTACGTGACACCTAGTATGTTTACTAGTGATGTTTCCGACCCTTACGAAATCTTAAAACGCTCGATTCTTAAACGAGGAGATCTAACCGATCGACAAAGGTTAGATCAACTCTTCAATAACATCGACCTGAAACACGGTTCTGCGACAGACATGTTGCAACGGATGAGAGAGGTTATAGGCCTAAGAACTTTCGACGAAGGTCTATTCAAACAACTCTTCTTGTCAAAACTTCCCCAACAGGTGCAAGCAGTTCTGGTCTCGTTCCAGAACAACGGCTTAGACGAGCTAGCTGCATCTGCCGACCGCATTCTAGAAATTACGAAATCTACTGCCGAGGTATTTTCAGTCAAAGAAAAGCCTCACACGACTCAGAACGATATAACCGACTTATGTCACACACTCACGCGTTATCTTAGTCTTCGTACCGACCGTAAGAGATCGCGCACACCACGTAGAAGCATTTCTCGTAAGCGATCTGTCTTTAGACCACGAGAGACGGATAACCCCGACTGGTACTGGTATCATAACCAGTATGGAAAGTTTTCCAGAAATTGCAGAAAACCCTGCAATTTTCCCAACACGAAACCGACTGACTCGAAAACCAATTCGCACATCAGGACACCCGAGCACCCATTAGCATCGCAGTAGACGCATCCGACTCAGCAATCGGAGGCGTCTTACAACAATGGGTTAACAACTCCTGGCAACCCTTGGCATTTTTCTCTAGAAGGTTGCTAGACACCGAATCGAGGTACAGCACATTCGGTAGGGAACTCCTAGCTATGTATTGTGCTGTACGGCATTTCCAACACTACATCGAAGGTCGTGAATTCACTCTTTTCACGGACCATAAACCACTCACTTTCTCATTAAGCTCTCCTTCTGACAAGTACTCTCCCCGTGAGTCTCGACAACTGGACTACATTTCGCAGTTTACTTCAGATATTTAACACATCTCTGGAGCAAAGAATGTAGTTGCAGACGCCTTAACTCGCATAACTTTCTTGAACATTTTCCAAGGAATCGACCTTCTTAAACTCGCCGAGCTTCAAAAAGAAGACAGTGATCTTCAGCACGAGTTATCGTCTACAACCCTTAAACTACGCATCAAACAGATGGGAACAGGTAAGGAAACCTTACTTTGTGACACATCTACAGGTAGGGATCGCCCAATCGTGCCGAAACATTATCGACGCAATGTCTTCAACACATTGCAAAAACTTTCTCATCCAGGTGTTCGTGCAACCATCAAGCTTATAGCAGAACGGTTTGCTGGCCTGGCATGAATAAAGACGTGAGGGAGTGGGCACGCTCCTGTGTAAGCTGTCAAAAATCTAAGGTCATCAGACACAATAAATGTCCCTTAGGCTCGTTTAAAACTCCCGATGCTCGTTTCGACCATGTTCATCTGGATTTGGTAGAACCTTTACCAGATTCAAATGGATACTCTTATCTCTTAACCTGCGTAGACCGTTTCACTCGATGGCCAGAAGCAGTACCTATCAAGGACATCACTGCTGAAACAGTGGCTCGCACCTTCGTCGAACGATGGGTAGCAAACTTCCGCTGCCCTTCAACCATCACTACAGACCGCGGACGTCAGTTTGAATCCGATCTTTTCCATCGTCTGACCACACTTTTAGGAATCACTCGCTTCCGAACGACCGCCTACCATCCACAAGCAAACGGGTTGGTAGAACGTTTTCACCGACAACTGAAAGCTTCGCTATCAGCTGCAAACGTTTCACAGTGGACCGACGCTCTTCCACTCGTCTTACTAGGTATCCGCAATGCAGTGAAAGCTGACATTGGATACACTGCGGCTCAACTCCTTTATGGAACGACACTTCGACTTCCAGGAGAATTCGTGGATCCTTCATCCTCTTCAATGAAC